GCTTTCTCCACCTCTCTTCACCTCTGCTGTCTCAGCCATAGGGCTGCAATACCTACCCAAATGCCCACAAGTTGTTTGCTCCCTCAAACACTCTTTTTTTTTTCCAAACACTCTTTCCACACTGCTCTTAGGGAATGTTCCAAAATGCAACCTCATCTTTTTTCTTCCCTATTTAACATCTCAATCACTCAGAAAATAACATCCCAAATACTTACAAAGTAATGGATTTGAGCCCTTATTCTGTACCAAACATTGTACTTCATTCAATCATCAAACAATGGTAAGAAAAGGGTAACATACTATGGGATAAATGTTATTATACTAAGCCATGTTCTGTTATACTGTACATGGGGCACATATTACTACTGCGAGGCTCAGAGAAGGTTAGAAGCTTGGCCAATGTCACAGACTTAAGTGGCAAAGCTAGAACTTAAGACAACCTCTTCCAGCATTTTGCTCCCACTAACTACAATGTGACCCCTTTTCAGCATCCTCCCTCACCACAGCCCTACTTTTGCACCACACTCCAGTCACACTGACCTGCTAGTCATTCCCGAAACTAGCTCATCTGTAAGTCTGCACATAATCCCTGCTGCCTGGAAAGCAATCACCCTCTCTTTAGATTTGGGAAATCATTCAAATTATCACTCTCCCAGCACAGGTGGTTCTTTATGCTTCCATGCCCTTCTGTGCCCATTTCCACTGACCTTCATCTCATGGTGTAATAATTTTTTATATATCTGTCTCTTCCACAAATCTGCATGTTCTCTGAGAACCAGAACCTTATCTTCTTCATTTTGGTATTCACAGTCTTCACACAGTGTTGCTAAATAACACTTAATGGTTGCTAAATAAAAGTAACTCACTGACATACTTTTAAACATCCCTCCAAAGGAAAAAAAATTCACTTTCCCCCACGTTTTCGATTAAAGAGAATTTAACCATATGATAAATGTGTCATCATTTCAGTGACACAATAATTAAATTTCATAAGCTCATCTATTGCTGTTACTACTACCGAACCCTGGGTCCTCTTTGATCCACTAGACAAATCCTCTGGGGCTCTGGTATGGCTGCGACACAACATCTGACTCTCCACACAGGTATGACTTTGTGGAACTCCCACACAAACCTACCTAGCTGAGCAGACCTGCTGGTGAGCAACACTGCCCTGGTCAGAAGCACTTGGTGACAATCTATTCCCCACTCAGACTGAATTTCAAGGCATCTGCTTTGAGATCAATGGCCTTACCCAACTACAGTGAACTGGGGGGGGGGGGGGGGGGGACAACAAAAAAACCCCTGTTACCTTGCAATCTCCTGGTGGTAGTCATAATGTTCATCCTCCTCCAGCCACTCCACAGATCCTGTGGTCGGATTGGCCCGCCCGCAGAAGACTTTCATGATGTCAATCAGCTTCTCAGCTTTAGCAGAGAAAAGCAGCCTTGCCAGCTGACTTCTTGTAGACAAATCTGACCGTCAGAAATCTATTCAAATCATAATGCCCCAAAATGTAGAGGAAAACAAATTTTTAAGACAAGGGAAGGAAAAAAAAAAAAAAAAACTCAAGAAATGGATGAAAATGTCAGGGACACTGAAAATATTTGTTCATCAGAATTTCAATCTTCCCATCAAGAGTTACTTAGTTTTATATTCAGCACACAACATCAAAAATCATTAAGACAAAAATTCAGAAAGCTATCTGGAAACTTCAGCAGGCCTCCATGATTTCAGTGGGGTCAAATGAGTCTCAGAGTTGCACCTGAGTACAGCCTCAGGTGAAGGCAGGTGAGAAGAGAAATAAAGCAGAAGAAAGGGCTAGATGGAAAAGGGAGAACACAAAGAGACTGGGGTGGTGGTAAAGGAGTGTCAGCAATACTGTCTTAGAAGGTAAACATTTAGTTTAAGGAAATATGCAAAGAAACTAATTCAAATCAACTAAGTAAACCTCACCTGAGCAAATAAATCATAGCTAATATTCAAACATCAACAATTCCAAATATATAACACCAAGCCAAAGAATAAGCAAACCACAGAGTATACACGATTGTATTCATATGAAATTCATAATTATGCAACAGAGCATACAGTCTTCAGGGATCACACCGAAAGCATAACAGGGAATGATGATAGTGGTTACCTATAGGAATGCAGGGAAAAAGATGGAATCAACAAAGGCCTTCAAAATCAAAGGCCTTCACAGGAGACTTCAAAAGTAATAGTAATTGTTCTTTTTCTAATGATACTGTCATTCTTAGTGCCTCACTACTATGTCATATTATTATGTTATTATATTACTGCTATGTCAATTACTTATCTACTCAGTATTGAATTTTAAAAGCAATTTTAACTTTCTTCATCTAAAATAAAAAGGCTTCGAATAAATGAAATGTCACCAGATAAATGTCTTATATGGCCACCAGATAAATGTCTTATATGGCCTGTTTCCCACCAAAGATCTATTTCTAAGAGAGAAATACCATAGCTCAAAGTCTGAAGGTACTTCTCAGCAGACATGGCCTCTCACAGTGCCCTCCCTCTTACTATTCAAAAAATAGCAAGTGTTCCACACTTTCCTTCATTTCTTGATAAGCACTGATCCATCATCTGTAAACCATAGAAAGAATGCCTACTCCGCAAGACCCTAAACATTTGTAAGGCATTTTACTGGCCAGTTACTGACTTTCTTCTGAAGTCATCTAAACTAAGTAAACACTGAATTCTTATACAAGAAGATGGGGAACGATCTTTTCTGAAAAGACTCAGTCACTAGCCTGGTTAAGAGTATCAATTAGTCCTTCAGCAAAACTCTACTTCAGTATATCTAGTCTCTACTTTAGTGGTTCTCAAGCTTTCTGACAACCCCAGTAAGAAATCTATTTTACCTTGAGACACAATACACACATGCAATATAAAGTTTTACAAAACAATTACTTAGTCTTCAGGTAGGCAAGACCCTCTGATATAGTCCACTCTATGTAATTTTTTATTTGTCATGCAGGCCATAATCCACTAAATTGTTTTAATAACTTACCAAAGGGTTTCAACCTACAGCTTGAAATGCACTGCTAGAATCAGCTCTGCATATCTCATAAGCTAATGTAATTAAAAGGGAGAGTATCTAGAACTACCATAATTTGTAATATGCTTTAGAAAACACTTCCAACAAATGCTGTAGTAGAAAGAAGTTTAAAAGATGGGTAGGATTTAGATGGGGGAAGGGAGGGAGAAAGCACTTCAGCAGATTAGAGAGGCTTAAACAATCATGCAGTGAACCAATAAATTAAGCTGAAGTTCCACTAAACAAGAAGTCAAACACGTTGATAGGGTCCATATTGTGGAGACTCCTAAAACCCTTATCCTCTGGTCCATGTGTAATCAATCATGAAGTCACTTAAAGGTTAAGGGGAAGTAAGGTATTGTAATGTATGGAAATCTCTTTTCATCTATGATGTTGCAGAGGCTGTAACTAGGACCACAGTGTTTTTTCAGAACTGTAGAGAAGTCACTGGTTTCATATAAATCTAAATAAATGCTTGAGGACAGAAACCATGTCCTGTAACCTCTCTGGGTGAACACTACATATATTCCACACATGAATCCCCTCATGTATTACTACTATGACTTGTCCTGTCTCCCAGAAGGAGCCCACAATCTAGATTCAGGATACTCTAATCTCCTCCTCATTCTCCAAAAGCTGTGTAATCACACGGTTATTTACAAGGAGGGGATGGAAATCAACTGCCAAGCCCTAATTGCTTTACTAGTCAGATTTCACAGTAGACCTCTGGTTCAGTCACTCAAAATTTACTAGGCACCTTCTGTATGCCAGGTACAGTATTAGGACTGGAGGACTACCATAAAGAGAAAGGAGGTTCTTGTCCTCCAAGAATTTATAGATCCTAATGAGAGAAAGAGAGTAAATAAAATAGTTACAGACTACCTGAGGGCAAGAAAGGAAATGCACAGGGTGCTACGAAAGAGAATAACAAAGTTATGGAAAGGCTCTCTGAGGAAAACAGCATCTAAGTTGAGGCCTGAAAGATAAGCCAGATTAAAAGCTATGTTAGTGTAGTGCTCATATTTCAGGAATCCTTACCCCAACTTTTTCAAGAACAGGACGTAAAATGTCAAGAATTAGGTGCAGAGTTACAAAAGTCTGAGTGACTGAAGCACTTTAAGCAGAAGAAATGAGGGGAGATTAGGCATGTGGGCGCCTGCAAACCGTTGTGCCATGCTGACTTTGGAAAGGTGTTCCGATTTTGTTCTAGATGCACTGAGAGCCACTCAACGGTTTTAAGCAAAGGAGTATCTACGGCGGATGTCTCAAAGAGTCGGACACGACTGAGCAACTGAACAACAAACGGTGGGTGTACGCTTTTATAGTGACTCTCTGACCAATGTGTGGTAAACAGACTGGTTTCCAACTACTGAGAGCACTGTGTCTGGGAAAGACCAGTGAACCAGAGGACCGTGGACCAGTCAGGGTGCGACAGCTGAAGCTCCGAAAGACTGAGGTGCGGGTCTCTGTCGCTGAGAGGAGGCGCCAGGTACTCCCCGGAAGGTGCTCAGTCACAAACCCAGCTAGAAGCAATTACCTGACTGAATGGCAGAGGCAGGGTCCCCCTAGAAACCCGCACTACCGCCGGTCCGGGACCTCTGAGCCTCCCCATGCGGACTCTAGAAGTTCCTTCGGAGTCCCGAAGAGATGTGTACCTCAGTGTCCAAGTACGACCAAGGCCGTGGGCTGAGTACGTTTCTGGCTGCATTCGAGCCCTCAAACGCGACCCCACCTTCCCAACCCGTCCAGCGTCTCACCCGACCCGGGAACAGGGCCATTGACTTCCTCCGCCACCGCCATCTTGCCGTGACAGGCGTGCGAGGGCGGGACCTCCCCAGACTCGCAGGGTGTGCCGGGGGCGGGGCCCGGAAGCGGAACTGAAAAGCTCTTCCGTCACACCCAACACAACACATTCCCACAGTGCTCCACGGCAGCAGCTATGGACGCTGGAGGTACAGCTGTGCTCCGGGTGAAGCGGAAGCTCGGCGCAGAGCCCGCCGAGGCTTTGGTCCTCGCTTGTAAACGCCTCCGCTCCAGCGGAGATGAATTGGAAACTCCAAAGACTTCTCCAGAGGGTCTGGAGAGAGCAGCAGAAAGTAATGTCTTCCAGTTGTTGGCCACCGTCCGCTCCCAGGTATTGGGCCGGGAAGGGGCCGGTGTGAAAGGGATCTTAGGGTACAGCTGGGGTGCATCCTTATCCGTGACCCTTTCACCAACCCCTGTTTATGCCGCCACACACCTCTGCTTTCCCCCCAACCCTAGGAGGAGCCAGTCCAGCCGCTCCTGCGGGCCGCCCTGCGCCCGTCCCAGGGCAGCCAGCAGCGTATCCGCCATCATCTCCGTGCTTCTGCTCGGGAGATCCGACAGGAAGGCCGCTACAGAGTAGTCTCTAGCCGCCGATCCTCGGGGATTCCCTCGGACAGCTTGGAGTCCGAGGACGCGTCAGGAACCCCAGAAGCCGCTGACGACGCAAGCTTTCAGCTATTAGATCTGGTCCACGAAGAAGATGCAGAGGTCGCCGCCGCCGCCATCTCTTGCAAAGTGAGTACAGCCCCGGAGTCGAGCTCTGGGATTCTCTGGACAGATAGTGCGCAAAGTCAGCACACAGTTAGAGGGTACAGGTGGCCTCACTTCAGAGATGGATGATCCATCCAGCTTGATAGCCACAATTTTCAGGTTAGGTTATCCACTCAACAAGTATTTACTCAGCGCCCACTCTGTGCCAGGTATGGTTCTTAGGTTCTGTGGGTACAACAATAAGGACCCAGCATTCAAGTGGAGAAGAGAAACATCAAACATATAAATTCAGTATCCCATGGTGATATGGGCCATAAAAGGGGCAAAGAAAAGAGGAAAAGCATGGTCCCATTTCAGTGTCATTTTCACTGAGATGACTTTTGAGTGAAGACTTGAAGGAGGTGAATGGCTGGGCACTGCAGATGTCTTAGGGAAAGGGATTCCATACTGAGGAGTAAGTGCAGAGACCTAGAAGCCAAATTTGTCTGGTGTTTGCAAGGTCAGTGTGCCTGGAGCCCAGTGAGTTGGGGGAAGGAATTTTGGAAGAAAGTATCTGCTAGATCCTTTCAAGTCAGTACTTGAAAGGACACCTTGCCTTTCACCTTGAGATGGGGAATCCCTGGAGATTTTGACCAATGTAAAAATAAAGCCAATGGGAAAACTCATCAAAGGGAAATAAACAGACCAGGCCTGGGTAGCATACCGAGTTTGAGGCAGATTTAGAATCTGCCTTCCTTACATTTAACTCAGTGTTACTTTCTACTAATTATATTTTCTAAACTAGTACCTCACTTCCAGAAAACAAAGTCAACTACATGCAATAAGACCAGAGAAATAGAAAATTCTCAATCTAAGGTATGCTCTCTCTTGATAAACATTTTTCAAATATCATTCCTTTTAATGGTTTTTTAAGTTTAAAAAATGAAAAAAAACCACTATTTTTGGCTATGTTGGGTCTGTGTTGCTGCCTGGGCTTTTCTCTAGTTGCAGTGAGTGGGGGCCACCCCCTAGTTGCAGTGCACGATCTTCTCATTGTGGTGGCTTGTCTTGTTGCAGAGCGCAGGCTCTAGGGCACACAGGCTTCAGTTGTTGCAGCATGTGGGCTCAGAAGTTGGGGCTCACAGGCTTAGTTACTCCAAGGCATGTGTGATCTTCATGGAACAGGGATTGAACCCATGTCTCCTACATTGGCAGGCAGGTTCTTTACCACTGAGCCACCAGGGAAGCCCCCAAAAATGAAATTTATATTCAAACTATATCAAGCCAAAAATATTTAATTAATATTACTAGTATACCTGGACATGATAGCCATCTGTTTTACCAAAACTAATTCCAGACTGTGTCATAAGTTACACATTTTAAAAGTGAACCCATGTTCAGTGGAATCAAGTCAGTTAAATAGCTCATTAAATAATCTAAGAAAAATTAGTAGATAAGTTAGGAAGGATCTAAACACAGGTTTTCCCGACAATCATTGCAAACTGTAAACACATCAAAAATGTTTGTAGATTAATTATTAAAAAACATAAAGCACACTTGAGGTTTTATGCTTACTAGATGACTGGGAAAAGGATTGCTGATAGCACTGTTGGCGAGGCTGTGATTAAAGTTGTACATGATTGTAGTGCTTAAAATTGATGCAAGCCTTTGGGCTTTACAGTAATATCAGGCATCCTAAAAAGACATTGGAGCCTATTTTTCAAACTATTTTTATTGTTTGCACTCTAAAGCCATCCAAAAATCTAAAGAAACTTTAAAATTAGTGATAGCAATCTCACCCCCAGGATTTATCCTAGGGAAATAATTCCACAGAAGCAAATAGCTATGTATTAACAAAAGCTACTGTTGGTATACTAAGTAATTATGTGTCTAGTACTGTGCTAGGTCCTTTTTTTTTTTTTACTTTAACTCATTTTATCCTCACAAAAACCATATAAGGTAGGTACTCTTATACTGTTACCTCCATTTTTCATATGCAAGAAATGACACGTTCATCACAGCACTGTATATGGAGACTTAACAGTTATGTATAGAAACTGACATATACAACTGGTTAGACCATTAAATTGGTAACCATGAAGACTGGCAAGATGGAAAAATACCTATGTTTAACAACAGCATGTAGCATAATTAAAAATTTAGGTAAACAGACTAGATTTAAATTTTTTTTTTCTTTTATGAAGAAAATAAAGCAAAATAAAAATAAGGAGAGGAGGTGGGTAACTTCCTTGGCAGTACAGTGTTAAGATTCCTTGCTTCTACTACAAGGGGTGTGGGTTCAATCCCTGGTCGGGTGTAGCCCCAAAAAATAAAGTGGGAGAAAATGCATTCATTTTACCCCCATCCCAAAGATAACTGGAATAAAACTATTTTTATTTTCTACGTCTAGCATTTTTGTTCTGCTAACTTCTGTAAATTTTTAAAAAATATTTAATGGGTGCATAATTTGTTGAACTGAGGTCTGTGGACTTGTGAGTTAGAGTCAGCACTTGTAAACAGCTTTGAGGTTGGTCAGGAGTCTTCACAAAACCTGACATGTCTAGTTCTTATTAACTTTGGCACAAGGAAGAATTCTGTTTAGCTTGTAAATGATGAGAACATTGCTCTCCCTCTATCTGCCTTGATCATGGGACACACCCTCTTCCCCCCATATGGTGTCTGGTTTGAGCTGTACAACTTTCAGTGATGAACCTGTTAAGAGTGACTTGCAGCATGTCCCTCTTGTTTCCAAATTGACCCATGCTACCCTGGATAACACAGCCTCTTGCCACTGGAGCACATCTTACCTGGGCAGGTTCTGTTCTGGGGCAGTACATCTCAAACTATCAGAAAAAGAATTGAGTCCCCTCCTAGTTGGTGAGCAGAGAAGCAGGATGTCAGTGTGAGCAAGCTAGTGGTGGGTGATGGATGGTACTAGTCACCAGGTACTAGTCCAAGAAACGCCCTTAGGCCCCTAGAGGTGGCCACACAAAATACAGACCCATTTGAGGGTTAACTGTAGGGGTGCTGCAGTGGGCCTGTGGATCTCCAAGGGGAGAATGTCATACCAAAGGAATTCAGAGAAGACGCCTGGGGTGAGATGAACCACTTGTGCTGGCTCTCCCCTTCCTCTAGTGTTCCTGTGGCTCTCATGTCAACCCACACAAGAATAGGAAACTATCTTGTAAGCTTCTCCCTTAAAAGTACTACTAAGCGTTAATTTTATAGATACTGTTTGTTTTTTTATTTCATAGATAAGAGAGACTAGTTGGCCTTGGGCATAAGAATCTTGAATTCCACATAGAACTGCAGGAAGGCTTCCTTCACCAAGTTCTTAGGTTCCTCTTGGGACATCCATGTTTTAGGTTATGCATGTATCATCTGCTGTTCTCTTTACAGAGATCTGACCCAGATGTGATCCTCTGCAACTGTGTCGAGTTGATCCGTGAGGGGTTGAATGTATCTCAATATGGACCAAGTTCTGGGCATCAGAAGGAACAAAAGGACGACTTTGTGTATGACATTTACTATTTGGAAAGGGCGACTCCAGGATGGATTGAGAACATCCTCTCTGTGCAGCCCTACAGCCACGAGTGGGAGTTGGTAAGGGGCCCCATGAGGCAGCGTAAGCTTATTACCCAGTCACATGCTTTGCCTCCCTAGGTTCTTTTCCTGATCATTGTTCTTACCCTTGCTTAAAAGGAAAAGTTTATGACAAATGCCTGAGGTTACTATAGCCACTAGCAGACTGCTGCATTTTCTCTTTTTCACACATCACCCTTAAATGATGTCTCTCCAAGTTGGTCTGCTAATAGCTTCCCTCAGAGCATACCTTTAGAGGTTTTAACTTACACTCATGTTTGTGTTGAGATGTGCAGGTGAATGATGACCACCAACCAGAGGACATTTATGATGATGATGATGATGATGAAAACAGTGAGAATAACTGGCGCAATGAGTACCCAGAGGAGGAGAACAGTGACGAAGATGAAGATTCCAGAGGTAGGTAATAGCAGCCCTGGTTGGGGAGGGATTGATAGCAGCCCTGGTTGGGGAGGGATTGATGGGATCTGGGACTGAGGTGTGAGCAAGACTGACAGGTTTATCTTAGCTGGTTTTCCTTTTCTGCCATTTGAGCTCCACTAGTTCAACCATGAGCTGTAGGAGATGCAAGGACCGGTATTTCCATGGGGGCTGCTAGAGGTATGTCAGTCAGGCCTGGGTTCAAATCCTTAGTTCCGTCATTGCCTACCAAAGTCCTTTTCCCTTCTACTCTGAATAAAGTGCTGGACAGGGTCATCAGTAGGAGTAGTCCTAGGGTTTTCTTAGGTACTTGTAAATTGTTGCATTTAGAAGTATAACAACACAGACTTGGTACCTCGGGGAAGAGAAAGGAAGAATGCTCTGGCACCACAGTTCCTTGAATTGCTTAGTGTTTGGTAACGGAGGAATAATTCAACTATGGAATATTCTACTGGGGAAGTGGCAAGGAACAAAATTAGATTTGCAATACGACTGCAACTGTTATAATTTTTTAAAAAGTCCCATACTTAGGGGAGAAATGATGAAACACTCCAATGTTAAAGGGCTTGGTTTACATGGTAAGAATTTTATTGCTTTTTTTAAAATTGTTCTATGTTCTAGCAAGTATTTAATAATACAAAACAAACTTTTTTGAGAAAGGAAGGGACTTTTGTGGTCATTAGAAAACCATACAATTAGAGCCCATTCCTATTATCTTACTCTAGGCTCTGACAATTACAGCAGCGTCAGTGAAGAAGAAAGAGACAACAGCAGACCACCAATGTGGAGCAAATACCCTTTGGATGTACAGAAGGAGTTTGGCTATGACAGTCCCCATGACCTCGATTCAGACTGATCATCTGTGATAACCATGAGGTTCTACTACAAGCCCCTGGGGGATCTGTGACTGCAGGGTCTGCCACAGTAGTTAGCATCCTCCTAGCCTAACATGGGGAAAGAAAAAGCATATCCACCAGCACCATTCCACCACAGGAAAAACATGCACTAAGGGAATGTCTTTTCTACTCTCTGTAGGGCCCATTTATCTTGATCAGAATCAACCCTACAGTCCACAGGGGGGAAATGCTATAAAAGCGAAGCTTCCTGGCCCACACATTTTCCCAACATTCCCATTCTCTTCCTACGCTGAAACCAGTTAAGTGGAAGAGAGTCTCATTTTATCAGCACTAAGACTGGGCTTTTCCAGGTTACCTGCCTCTAGTAAAAGCCAGTTTCTTTTGATAGAGGGATTCTAGAAAGGCTGCAGTGAGTCCCTTGTAGTGGCACAGACTGGACTCTGATAACATTTGTAAAGATTGCTTGCTTCCTCCGGCAGTGGTGCCAAGGAACAGGGTATGTATAAATGTATTTAATAAAAACTTTGAACACTGGGAGCAAGTAAAATCTGTCTTACATGTTTTCCCACCATATTCCCTGGCTCCCCCAACACCTGCCAAAAGGGAGTGAGAAGTTTCAAACACTGAGGACTTAAAGCAAGTGAGGAAAAGCAAAGCACATCCTAAACTTGGCTTTCCACTGAGAAATGTTTTAACTAGTCACAGCAGTCACCAAAAACAAACTGCTGTCAACAGGACCAATATTGTTACCAAAACTGGTATCTCTTGTAAGCAAACTCTGTCCCTACTCCTTTCCAAACCACAAATGCCTTAACTCTGACTAAGATGGCATTTATTCTGTAATGACGAATATGTTCTCTATCTGCACTGTGCAGGAGTAGCCATTAGCCACATATGGCTATTGAGCATGTGAAATGTGATTATTGCAGTGGAGGAGCTGAATACTTTTTTTTTTCCATTTATTTATATTAGTTGGAGGCTAATTACAATATTGTAGTGAATACTTTAACTAGCTCTTTATGGCTAGTAGCTACCATGTTGGACAGGTCTAGGGAAACAATACACAGAACCTTTGATTCAAGGTGTGCCCTCTTGCCCTGGGGCACAGACTTACTCTCACATGGGAAGATAAACAAGAAAATGTCTTCCTGCCCATTCTAAGATTTCATAAGCATTTCGACTTTTCTATCCTACCGCCATCCATTTCACTTTTTTTTGTACAACTTTGCCTATATTCTTATCTACATGAAGTTGTTAAACCTCCTAAAGTGACTCACTTCTGTCCTACTCTTGCAGTTATAAAACCAGCAGACAGACTTGGTTTCCTATCCTAAGTATCCACTAAGGTGCAGTTCAGTGCTGCAAGTAACAGGCAACAACTTCCCAAGTTTAATACCAGTCAGCTCAGTCTTCTGCAGGCATAGAAGCAAAGGACTGAAAACCACTCTGCTATTATAACATGCTCACTGCTCTTATGTACTCACTAAAGTTTGCCAATATTAAAGGGCTGACAGCTTCACAAACTGTACCCACTGCAGAAAGGATTAGCACACCACGAGAAGGACTGAAGGAGATAAACAACAAAGACCTCGAAGAAATTAATTATACTACAAAGCTGTAGTGCTGTAGGGAGTCTCTGGCTTCCCTCCCTCAGAAATGTTCCTGGGAGAAGTCTGTATCCAACACAGAGGGGAAGAACACGGTCACCATCCAGTAATGAGGGGGTGACCTGGCTCACTAAGCAAGTATGAGGGAGCCTAGAGCGTGAGGCCCTTGCTTCCATAGCAGCCACTGGGAGACAGGTTCCTGAGATAAGCTGGTCATTTACTTCAGTGAAGAAAATTAAAGCGTAGGTGGGGGATCCTTCAAGACAAGCATACTTGACTTGAAGGATTAGCTCCAGAGGATCCCTGGGATAGGTGCCAGCTTGGGTCAGACAGGAGTCATGTTTACATAGTCCGGGCAAGTCAGCCTTTGCAAAAGACTCCCTGTTGTCAGGCAAATCCACAATCCATGACAGGAGGAATGTACTCCTGTATTCTCACAGAGGCATACCCTGAACCAAAGGCAGCTGTGAGCATGCTCCCCTAAATTGCCTTAATTGAACAAGTATGACCAAGGTCACTCCCTTGTCTGTAGCTAGGGCCAGTATGGTGGAGAAGAATGCTCAGAAAGGTAGATTGCCTCATAGTTCCTGTCTTTATCATTGCTTGATTTCAAAACCTAAGGACAAGAACCCCATGGGGGCATACCAAGCCAGCAGGTTCTTCTGGGTCCAGGATGAGTTTCTGGAAGGAACACTGAACGGCTGTCCAATCCACTGCAGCCTGGCGGCCCATGAAGGAACATCCATTAGGTCAGATGTACCACTTTGGCCACACCTGGGTGCTAAAGTGCAGCCTGAGCACCAGAATTAATTGCTTCTTATTGTGAGTCTGCTGAAGAGCCAGGTGGAGGTGGAAGCAGCTTTACTGCAGAGTCGTCACTGATGTCCACAGGGAGAAAACAAGTTCCCACAAGTACCAAGCTCTTCCTGAGACTGCAGCCCCCCAAACCTCAGGCAAGGGGAGGCAGACAGAAGAGCAGTGCACTGTCCCAATGACCCACACCACGGTGGCTCAGAGTGTAAACAAAGTCTGGTGTTGGGGACGAGGAGGAGGATACAGCCTGATGTGAGGTTTCCAGGAAAATGACCACTTCTAGCACCACAGTGGGCTTGCATGGGTCTGCACAGCAGCCCCTCATAGCAGCCCTTACAGAGAGGAACAACTTACTTGTCAGCTTGGGTCCCGGAAATGGCCTCTAAGCCATTGACAGCTGAAAGAATTCAAGTGATTCACCTGAATCCTAGGACAGTTTGTGCCTTCTTAGACTTCATACCAGAAACCGGGGGTTTGCATTTTGCCAACTAGAGCAAAGAAGTAAGGTCTCAAGTAAAATAAAGGATTAGCCTTCAAAGTAGCAGTTTTACCAGGCTTCTGACTCTGGCATTTGTTCATCTGTCCTTGCTGGACTTGAGCCAGGTGACTGGTAACATGTGACCTATGTACATACTGAAGTGTAACCAGTACATGAGTAAAGAATAATCTTTACAGTTCACCTCTGCAGGTAAGACTCAACAGAAGACTGTGCTAAAACTAAGCAAAAAAATCTGCGGTCAGAGTCTGACCAACCACCACATAGATACCTCTAAGGTCAGAGGGACTCACTTTGGGGTACTTTCAATTTTTAAATACAATCAGCCTATTACAACCTGTAAATTAACGAAGACCAATGCTTTGCTGGAACTGGTGTTCTGGATTAAATAATATCAATAAATAATGGAAGACAACCCTCTCCCCAAGGAAGGATTCTGAGCCAGAGGAAGAAATGGTAGCATTTCAGACCTCTAAAGTCAGGTGCTTGGACCTGGTCAGAGGAAAACTTCTCATAGAGCAGCCCCTTCAGAGAAACTCCTGGTTCAAATGTCAAATTCAGAAACCAATAGCCCCAGCTGTTAACCTAGCACTCCCTCTTCCCCCAGTGCAACTCACCAAGTAAGTGTTTGGAAGGGCTGCACGTACTCGCCAGAACAAAACTGAACCACCATTCCCCTACTGCTCAAGTCCTCTCCCACCACCACCCTCTGAAGTCCCCACCTTCAGGCTGGCCCCAGACCCTGAGATTCCTACCATAGCTTACCAATGACAGTGAACACTTGAGCAGGCCATCAGCCCTGAGCCCCCTTACATAATGTGGGCCAACAGCCCTTCTTTAGCACAAGAAGGTTGGGTCCACACAGTCTTGTAATCTGGACTTTGGTGGCTGCGGCCACAGGTAGCAGCCCTGCAGGCCTTGGGGATGTCACCTCTGGCCTCTACTCAGTTTTCCTCTCGACCTGTCTCTCTTCAGCTACATCTAGCTCAGTCAGGACGCAAAAGCAAAGCTTCTGGGTGACTTTGGTGATAGCAGCTAAATGAAAACAGAGAAGAGAATTAGCAAACTGATACTCAGTGACAGAATGACAGCCCCCATCTAAACAACACAAGGCTGACTGAAGTACATGGTTCCTCCCACCTGCCCCCTGGGCACCCTGTGCCAGGCTCACCCCCAGCAAACCTCACTGTTCTCTACTCCACACCCAACCAGAGGGTCTGATGCACGGACTGCACTTTCAGGGAGGGGGTGTTTAACCCCAAAATAGGACTCTAAAGTTAGAATTAAAGTGATCATGTCAAGATCAAAAGGGGCAGCCAGGTCTCCAGCATATCACTAGTAAGGGGAAGCCATTACACCTTTGTAATGGCTGTGCACACATCTTTGTACACACACACACACAGCCAGTGTGTGTAATAGGCAAAGAGAAGCTCACCAAGGAACACGAACACACACACACACACACACAGAGCCAGTGTGTAATAGGCAAAGAGAAGCTCACCAAGGAACACGAACACACACACACACACACACACACACACACACACACACACAGAGCCAGCGTGTAATAGGCAAAGAGAAGCTCACCAAGGACATTCCGAATAAAGAGTGGCCTCCGAGACTCTGGCAGATAAACACCCAGGAAGTAGACGGGGACCCCAGAGAGGGTGATTCCAATGCCAATGAGGGAATTGATGGTGTCACTGAAGAGGGGCACAATCACCAGAAACAAGGAGCATATGCAGAACACGATGGGAAAAAACAGGCTCAGCTGAAATGAAGAGAGGTGAGATGTTAGGTAAAGTGTGATGAGGGAATGGGAAAATGGGGAATGGGACAGGGGGAAGACCTTGGAGAGATGGCCCACCCTTCCTGGTCTGCCCAGTCACTGACCTTGAGAGGTCGTGGCCGATCAGGCTCCTTCCAGCGAAGGTAGAGCTGTCCAGCGACAGAGAGGCCCACAAAGAACCAGTAGCTGAAGCTGAAGTAGTTGATAAGCAGGAAAACATCCTCCACAGTGAGGTAGATAAGTGTCATGGTGCACTGGAGGGGGAAGAGTAGGGGGAAGAGGAGTGGGCACTGTTACCACCCAGCCACCCAGAGACTCCATCACTCAACAGTCAGCACCAGATTGGCTGAGAACTGACTCAGCTTCACCAATGACCTCCAGCTCTTTTCAGTGACCCCCTTGGCATCAGATAAGTCCATTCTCCAGACTGGCCTTCCCGCCTTCCTCTGTTGGGGGGTCTTCCTGCATTCAATGCCTCCTTTCTTTTCACATGCACTTCAGTAACAAACTAGACTCCTTTCCCCTTCTGATGGCAGACAGTGAGGCCCTCCTCACTGTGATGCACGAGCCTCAATGTGAATCACCCAGTGCCCTCTGAGACTGTCATACACGGGTCCCAACTACCTGGCTGAAAGAGGAGGAAGTGTCTCCAGAACCATCTCACTACCCTGGAGCCTTAAAAATGCAGATTAGCAAAACAGACCCATACCCCTGGGAAGAAGAAGTATAACAGGATTTGCCCTCTGGAACAAAAGAGTTCTGGAAGACAGGAGTAAGGGACTACAGAGTCTGAGGAGAAGGTTAGGTTTGCTTTAACTTCAAGGATATGGAGTTCCCTCTATCCATCTTTTCACCAGATTATCAACAAAAAAGACTGAAAACAAAAAGAGCCCATTCTAGAGAAAGAAGGAGACCCAATACTGAGAGGAGAAAAGTAGGGTGCAAGGTGATTAATTTAAAAGCTATGATGTCAGATTGCCCTAAATTTATAAACTTAGTGCTATCCCAATCAATATATTGAGGATATTTTTTTATTTTGATAAAATGATACCACAGTTTATCAAGACAAATAAACAAATAGGTGAGAACTGCCATGAAAATTTCAGGGGGAGAGGGGAACTGAAGAAGGACCCTCAGCCCCACTTTAGTTCTCAAATATTCAGTATAAAGCTAAATAAGGAAGTTTGGTGCTGATGGAAGGAAGAATTGAGATGATTATACATTTAAGGGGCAAATCGCTGTGCATGGCACATAAGAAGCATGCTAAAAGATCATCTATTTTTATATGATAAAAATGTGAACAATTCGGGGACTTCCCTAGCAGCCCAGAGGTTAGGATGCTGCACTGTCACTGCAGGGGGCACAGGTTTGCTTCCTGGTCCAGGAACTAAGATCTCGTATGCTACAAGGCACAGCAAAAAAAAAAATCCTAAAAAAAAATTTTTTTTAATTTGTCTGAAAAATGTAAAAAAATGGACTATTCAATAAGTGATATTGGTATAGTTGGCTAGCCATGTGAGAAAAAAAAATTAAGTAAATCTCTTCCTCATTCCATTCACCAAATATAAACTCCAGATGAATACAAAAAAAGTAATAAAACCATTAAAAAAAAGAAACTAAATGATAAAAACAATGAACTATATTTCAAATCGTGCTACCCTTTGCATCTAATAATACCTTAGTGCAAATTATAAAATGACAGTTCTTCTTCAGGACTCCTTCCATCTGTCAGAATACTTCATCATTTACTAATTTTGTTGAAAGAAAACACTTTAATGCCATCTACTATATAGAAATCTATCATGCCTATGATATGAACAGAGGCTCCCAGGGTAGCTGGTGTACACTGGCCTGGATTTCTAAGTATAATTTAAAAAATAAAAATGAGGAGCTAGAAGGAGCAGGAGGAGGAAAAAGAAGTCACTGACAGAAGAGATAGATAAATCTGACTGATTCACTTTTATATTCTTTTGTAGCATTTGCCTTCTCTATGTTTTACTTTTACATTTTTAAAAATTGTGGGGAAAAGAAACACTGAGAGGCTCAGGAAGTACCCCAAGAAGCTAGTATACCTCCCCCCAACCAGTCCTCTCAGACTCAGCAGGAGTACCACACAGGTATGTCCAATGCCCACACTCCCCAGCACAGCTTACGTTAAACAGTAAAGCAGGGATAGGTGTGAAACGCTCAACGTGGATCATGGACAGGAGGTCCGGGAGGTGGCCCTCACGGGAGCCCACAAAAAACAACCTGGAAGGACAAGAAATGTGTCAGGAGGATTCTTATACTCAGCCATGCAGCCACACTCCTCCCTCAAACTAGGCTCAGCCAGACCCAGAAGCCAGCAGTGGGCAGTCTCTCAGGATCCTCCCATGTTCTCTATGCATGACCAAGCCAACCTTCACCTCCTTTATCCATGGATATCCCCACCATAAGCCATGACCCACTCTTACCCACTGACACTCCCATGCCTCTGCTATGCAACTCACCATCACCCAACTGATACCTCATACTGTCATCACCCACTGGCACCCCAATCCACTCCCCTGGGGTACCCTACTCTGGCACCCCACAGACTTCCCACTTAACGGCTTTTTAAAGAAGAGCAGCCAGGCTTCTGATTGTCTGACCTCTGTTCATCTTCCCTGAGCTCCTGATATGTACATAAAAGGTCAGGGAGAGCCTGGGGCTCAAAGAAACAACTCAAGCTTCCTCTCTGCATTTAAAGAGCTCCGTTGACTGGAAACAGAGCAACAAAGTGAGAGCATCCAGGTAGTCAGCAGCATCATGGTGCACACAGCACCTGGCGTGGGGTGGGCTGGGGAGCAAACAACTCCCCAAGAGATGACCACATCTGCGCTGGGAAGAAGAGCTGGGGTTTTCCAGAAGATAAGTGTTGGGTGGGGACACAACACAGGCACAGGCAAAAGAGGTTTAGAGGCAATGAGAGGGTGTAGCCTCTTTGAAGGTTGACACTAGAATGCCCGTAGTTCCAGGATAAGGTATGTGAGGAGTGTGCAGGGAAGAACTTGCTTATGAGGCCGCGCTGTGGACACTGAACTAACACCAAGAGCCAGCAGTGGCTCTAAAGTAAGGGCTTGACCGGACTTGACACAGAGACTCTGGTGGCACCACTGAGGCCAATCAAAGCAGACAGAGGCCAGGGTGTGGGGGAGGCCAGACAAGAAGGTCATCTGGGGCAACAGTCCCACAAGAGAGGGGGCCTGAATGAGGGTGGACACCTGGCGGAGGACAAATCTGGTGGTCTTCTGTGCCTGCATGTGTATTTGAGGCTGGGAAATGAGGGTGGACACCAAGGGAAAAATCAAGAGGCCAAGAGGCTGGGAATTCCCTGTGGTCCAGTGGTTAAGACTTTGGGCTTTCCCTGCTGAGGGCCCAGGTTCAATCTCTGGGTGGGGAACTAAGATCCTACAAACTGTGTGGCACGCTCCCTCTACTGAAAAGACAAAAAAGAGGCCAAGTAAGGAGGACTTGAACAGGGAGAGCACATGTTAAGTCTGAGATACTTATGGGCCATCCAGGTGGAGCCACAGGAGCTGCTGGTATCATCTGGAAGGGTGTCAGAGGTTCACAAGGCTAGTATCTGTACTGAAGCGGAGAAGCAGTACAGCAGGTGGAATGCGGGAGAGGACGTGTAAGTGAGGCAAAGGCATCGAGTACAAAGCCTAAGACAGCAGAATGGGTAATAAAGAGAGGGAAGAAGGTAACATGGGTGGAAACAGTTGTGCATTATCTTGACACGGCTGCAGTCCACTTTATGTGCAGGTCCATGTTCTTACTCTGAGTCCCCTACCTTCATCCTGCCAATGCCACAAGATAGCTCAGAATGTACCTACTACCTAAGTGTTTGGGGGCAACTGGCAGAGCCAGAACCTGGGAATCCTGGGATCAGGTAGCAGAATCAGCCTGGAAAGGCAGAATCAGTCCTCTCTCTGAAACAACAGTGCTCTAACAGGTAAGTCTCTGTGTGGGAAAGAGAGCTGGAGCCTATGTGTTGGCCTCAGTGTTTTCTATGACGTGAGGGGCAGAGTCGTCCTGTACCAGTCCAGGTACACAGCAAGTGCTCAATAATTATTCATCACAAGAATGAATCCTAATAAATGAAAAAAAAAAAAAGAATGAATCCTGTGCTAGGCCTGCAGCACAATCCACAGGAACAAAGAGTCTGGTCCCCAACAGGATGGCTACTGTCTAAGCTACTGCCTTCCTCCCTTGACCTCTTACCAATCTGTCCTCACCTCAGGTGAAAATGTGAGCTCCCAGCATACAAATGTTTGCACAAAGGCAAGTACACGTGTGCACACCCGCATACACAACACAGAGCACTAACCACTACACGATCGCATATACACTCTGCAAGTCCAAGAGACAGAGATGGGAAAGTGGCTCCGATGGACTCACCTAGACCCTCAGAGAACTAAATACTGTGGTGTGTTATCGGCAAAGCAGAGACACAGTACCTTGATGAGGCGAAGATAGACGCATTGAGGCCCCCAAAACAGGACAGGGCGACAGCAATGGGAATGGTCCAGCTAAACATGCCAAATGTCTGGTCAGCAAATGTCTGGGGACAGAGCACAGAAGGGCACTCAGCACAGGACAGTGTCCACAGCTGCCTGAAGCTCTCATGACAAATGCCATCACTGCTGCAAACCTCACCCTCAGGCCCAGACCCACCACCTGGAATGGCTGCAGAAACAGAAGATTCAGCCATTCAGTATCAGAAGATGACAAGCAGATGGGATCCCAAGAGACTCACCACAGCCACAGCATCACTGGCAAGGACATCAGAAATGCTCAGCACTGTGTAATAGGCCACGTTGGTCAGGATGTAGATGAGTGTCACAATTGGCATAGAAATCCCAATGGCCAGGGGCAAATTTCTGTCAGAACAAATGAGACAGGACTACCTGGAACCAACCTCTCCTTGAGGGTCAGAGCTACCCAGGAATTCCCTGGCCTCTGGAACTTTGAGGCTGACTCCCCCTCCCCACATGGCCTAAGGGCAGGATGTGTCCCGTGCCCTGGACTCTTCCTACTAAGACAGAGAGAAAGAAAGCCCCGTCTCTGTGAAGATGACTCAGGATGAATATTTGATCCTTGTCCCAGTGGGACCGCCGGGTCCCTCTGATGGAACAGCAGCGTCCTTCAGGGACTGGAGGACAGGCTGGGGACCTGGCCGCTCAGAGTAAGCTTCTGGCTCCCCAGGCTTCAATGTCAGCCCCAGCTAGATTGGCTGTGGCCCACCAAAGGACCTCTCCTCCAGGAAGGACCTTGTGGACCCTCCAATGTTAATGTGAGGCTGAGGAGCCAGGGGTTTCCCTCCTTACTCCCATCCTAGCCCCTTATTCCTCTGAGCTGGAAAAGGGGGAGAGTAGGGAGAAGTGATGAGAAATGAAGGAGGAGGGGCAGGAGGGGGCAAGTGTACCCACTATCAGCAAGAGTTCCAGCCAAGTTGAGGAGAGTGGGATCTCGCCTTTACCTTTCTGGGTTTTTGATTTCTTCTGTTACAAAATTAAGGGTGTCCCAACCTGAGTAAGAGAACAGGGCAGAGTAGAGGGCAAGAAAGAGGTCTCCCACATCCCAGGAGGAACCCTTAAAGGCATCCTGAAAGTGCTCAGAGTGTCCTGTGGGGGCAAAGGCAGGTGGGGGTGCAGAGAGGAGTAAGAGGAAGGAGGAGGAGGACAGGAGAGATGGAAGTGTAAAGAGAAAAAGGAGGGGGTGCAGGGCAGTGAGAAACAGGAAGGGTAGATGGGGAAAAAAGGAGAAAGGAGGAGCATCAAGAAAAGAAAGAAAAGCGAGCAGGCAGGGAAAAGAAAAAAAAAAAGAAAAACAATTTAGTACCAAAAGAACCACCACCTCCAGCTCCCTGAACTTCACCATCCCACCCACTCCTTCTGAATCTTTCATTTCCCTTCAGTAGAACCCAACAATCTCAGAAAAAAAAAAAGGCACTCCTGGTTGCCTTCTGAAATGATAACCCCTCTTTAAAAGCCCTAAGGAATTTCCATTTCCTGCAAGAGACCATGCGGTCAGCCACAGCTCTTCCTCCTATTTTTAGAAAGAACCCTCTTTCACATAAAGGAATAATTTTTCCATTAACAATTAGATCTTCCTGTGGAACTACTTCTCTTGGCCCAGACCACTGCATATTTTGGTTCAATGGGTTTCTCAGTCTCACGGAAAGAACTCTGTTGCTCTATTCACAGTGGTTATTTCACAGGAAATGGTAGGCTTTGTAGGAACTGAGATCTTATTTTTCATGGGCTCTGGGGTTAGGTATGGGCACCTCCACCTTTGGAGAGCCTCCCTAGACAAGTCAGCCTCCTTGAGGCCTTTAGAGACCGCACACTTGCAAGCCAAGGGAACAGCACCCCAGTGTCCAAGAGACAGACCTTCTAGACACTCTAGTCTTGTCTTTCAACAAGACACAGACTTCTAACGAAGCCTGCTGTGACCTCCTCAGAAGGCCTAGACCCATCCCTCAATGTGGCCAAAAGGGCTGGGTGTGCAACAAAGAGGAAGGAAAACAGAGACTCCCGAGCCCCAGGCATGCCAGTCATCATGCACAGCAGTTATTCCCTAGGGCACAGATCTTGGGGGGAGAATTACTCAACTACCCAATTTGGCCCCAAGATGTTTCAGAGACTCTAGGAACATCCAGATGGCTGGCTATACTAACTTGCACACAGGCACAAAGGTTCTAGGTCAGCTGCCTAAGATTCACCCAGGGCACTTGTTAAAAACATACCTTTTTCTCTGATTTTTTACCTGCACCACGCAGGGTCTTAGTTTTCTGACCAGGGGTTGAACCTGGGCCCTCAGCTGTGAAAGCACGGAGTCCTAACCACTGGACTACCAGAGAATTCCCCAAAACAGACTTTTTCAACTCCAAACCAACCAGAGTTGGATGGGTTGAGATGGGAGTCTCAGCTCTTCGGGTGACTGTAAACACAGCCAAGTTTAGAGAAAGACGCCCTAGAGAACTGGGCTGTCTAATGATCGAGACACCCTTGGCCAAGGATACCTCAAGGCTTCTCTAAGGGGTCAGAGGATCTTGGAAGGCCTGTAACCCCTCATTGCCAACCTGCTGTGGTCTAGGAATGAAAAGCTCTCTAAAGTCAACATGCACAAAAGTCAGTGCCATCTTTGCAATGTTTTAATATTTTTGCTGAGAGCTGACTCTGGGAGGGAATGCTAAATAAGAGCAAGTCCAGATGAAAAGTAAAGGCTGCAAAATAACCACTCATTTCCAGACCCCATCTCCCCACCATATACACCTCTCAGCCCTCTCAAGAAGGGCTGAGCCCTCTTCCCCACTGCCTGTGGTCACACACCAAAAACAGGAACCAGGGCTCACTATCTTGATCACTTTTATGACCCAATTACAACTCAAGTTTCAAAAGCTCCTAGGCCCTTGGCTGACATCTTGCAATACTCCCCACCTCCACAAAGGGATGGAGGCCCAAGAAACCTGAGAACAGATTTCTCATTGTTCTCATTGACACAGTCCAGCAGGTACACAGAAAGAGCTGAGCAGTAAAGCTAATGGAGTCCCCACGTTCCATGTTTTTCTCAAGGAACCCAGGGGAACTCCCAGAGTCACCCACCCTCCTTCCTACCTGGGAGTCTCCTTACCCTGGCACAGTTTAACAAGGCCCATGACAATGATGGCAATGAGTGCCAGGACCTTGGCATACGTGAACGTGTCCTGCACACGTGTGCCCCACTTGACGTAGGCACAGTTCACAAATGTCAGCAGACCTAGGAAGAAAACCACAAAGTCAGTGGCAGGTGTGAGACGAGGGCACCGAAACCCAATCTCTCTTTACAAAGCACATCATTTGTATCCTGTCTGCCTAAGGCAAAGAGGCCAAAGGACTGGTCAGAACCAGGAGAACAGGCTAACAGGGTACATCTTCTATCTGCCCCAGCTGAGAGGAGAACATATACCACTGTGAACAAGATATAAAGGCATGTACTACCACATATTCATACATTCTGACAGCCAGAACCATTTTTGGAAATTCCTCCCAAGCCCATGAATGGTGAACTTTACCCACTCTTCCCCACTGAGACTCCCAAAGTTTTAAACCCCCTGGGGCATTAGAGAATGGGGACAAGAGAGGTCCAACAACAAATAATTTAAATGCAGGTGGCGGGTAACCCAGGAATTAGACAGGCAATGTTTTGCATATAATTATTTTTAAAAAGTCTGTCATGTGCCTGACAATTTCACATACATCCTCTTAATTAATTCTCACAACCACAACACAGACATTCCTATTCCCATTTTCTGGATGAGGAAACCTGAGGTTGAGAGAAGCCAGCTACCATTCCCAAGCTTACATGGCCCCCATTGATCTCCCCCACCCCCATTCCTATCCAAACATCCTAATTCTCAGGCCCGTGGAGACATGGACTCACATCAGCACTGCTGGCTTTATGTTCCAGCTCCTTACGTACCTCACAGATATCTGGTCCTGTGTTAGGGCTCCCACCACCTAACCCTGCTATACAGGGACTGCTCTAATCCATGCAGAGAATGTGAGAACAATATCCAAGGGGCTCCACAGTGACACCTCTAAGTAATGCCCCCAGCCTCCAAAAATGACTTTTATGGGAACCTCAAATGTTATTACAAAATTTGGGGGCCCATCCTCCTGGCCCTATCTGCCTACTTCTACCCTCACTGTGCACTCTCCTGCAGCAGACCCTCTGTACTGATGCTGTATATACACATAAGGGAAATGTCCTCCCCTCCTCCTCCTGCCTTAACCAACAGCAAGTCCCACTTTCAAGGTCTAACTCAGTCCCCACTTCCTCTGCAAAACCTTGCCCAAATACATCAGCCAGGTCCTGCCTGAACTCTCTCTCCCTGAACCTACCATGTTCTCAATTCACAGCACAACTTAGAACTGCGTGCTATAGCCACAGGGACACCTGTTACAGCAAGGTCCCTCTCTCTTCCTCAGGCATTTGGGTGGTACTTCCAAGGAGATCACAAATTCTTAGTGGGAAACAAAAGCATATGGTTTTCTTAAGCTTATTACCAAGCAAATATAGGAACTGATGAACCGAGGTTGGAATCAAAATGGTGACGAATTTCACTCAACTGCCAATCCCCTGGAGCAAGGCAACTTTCAGAAAGTTGGACATTCCTCCACGCAAATGGAGAGGAGAGCCATTGGCCAATGTGTGGTTATAAACATGAGTGGCTGAACAGCCTCCACAGGGCACTTAAAGAGCTTGCATGCACTACTCCGGCAAATGACACAGGTGCTTACTAGTTAGTCATAAAGACGTGTGGCAGCAGGGGTCAAATAATGGCCAAAAGGGAGGGGAGAAGACCAAAAGAATGCACCCTGCCAGGCAGGTCTTTCCAAGGACCTTCCCTGCTAATCCAAGTTCATTGTGGGGAGCTAAGCCTAGATCAACTAATAAGGATTACCTAGTTTACAGCCACCAGTAATGCAGACTCCTGTGCAATAGAGTCAGCATATTTTGAAGTAACTGCCAGCCCCCTTCTTGGGAACTGCTCCCCCTACCCTATCATGGCTGGTAGAACCCAACTGGACCCAAGCTGAGCCTATTTGATTAACTATGCCAAAAATATGGAGTTTGGATGCCAAGAGACTGAACCTAGTGAACAGCAGCTGAGACAGAAGCAAGTAAAAATCACATACAAGCTCTTGTAATAGCGGAAGAAAAGCCACAAAAAGCAGAGGAAGGAAGCAGGACTACAAAAAGAAGTGACAGCAGCCTGTGAGGCGCTGTGCAGCTTGTGAGAAAAAAAGACTGATGAAAAGACACAGAAATATACACAAAACAGAGGTGGAGGAGAGGCAATGAGGAGGAGGCAGAGATAAAGAGAAAGAGACAAAAAAAGAGACAGAGACAGAAAGATGGCCACACACGTGGAGAAAAAGGCTGTCTCACAACGTCCTGACTGTGCTTACTGTGCTCTGGCTTCCGCCACCAAGATGTGCCTGCAGGACGGGGAGAGAAGCTCACAGATTCCTTAGCCAGGCACTCTCTCCTCCAGCTTCTGCTCCTCTTCCTTCCCTCCCTCCTGCTACAAACTGCCCCCGTGGCTTGGGCCTCTGTGCACACAAGGGGAATTCAACAAGTAAAAGCAGCTCCTGCAGAGCCCCTACTCACAGGCGAGCCGGAAGGATACAGAAGAGCCTGGCCACAGCAGCTGCCTCAGGGAGGAAGACTAAAGCTGAGAGGCAGATTTTTTTTCACCGTACACCCTTTTGTACTTTGACCTATTTACCATCCACATACACTTCTTTCTCAATAAAAGTACTTCATTTAAAACAACGTGTAGCTAGGGAGCAGGGCCACGAATAGAGTAAGGTGAGTAAGGAGCCTATGACACAAAAGTGAAGGAGGCACTCACTGTCACGGGATAGCTTGGCAAACCTGTGAGTACTGGCCCCAGGAGCCTTGCTTGCTTCACCGGACTCTCAGCCATGCCAGAGAACACAAAGCTCCAAGAATAGCATACCAAGCAAAAGCCAACTACCTCAAATGTTTTCCTGATTCTAATTAAGAAACAAAATTTCACCATCTGACCCTCATCCCTCCTGCCTCCCAGAACTCCCATTCCCATCCAGCACCAAGGATCCTATCAGAGCTCAAGCACCAGACAACCAGGCTGAGCCTGGAGGCCACAATTCAACAACCACAATGAAAACACCCAAGTCCTCGCTTTTCCCTGATCTCATTTTTTTGCTGAAAACCTGCACCAAGGACTGTGGGACCCATATGAGGGTCTTTTCAGGCTCTCTAGGTGCTTGTTGCTGGGAAATACTCAAAGAGCAGGTCCAGACCCAACCCCTGTGTGTGTGTGTTTGTCACTCAATCGTCCGATTCTTTGTGACCCCATGGACTATAGCTCACCAGACTTCTCTGTCCATGGAATTCTCCAGGCAAAAATACTGGAGTGGGTTGACATTCCCTTCTCCAGGGGATCTTCCCAACCAAGGGATCTAATCCAGGTCTCCTGCATTGCAGGCGGATTCTTTACCATCTGAGCCACCAGGGAAGCCCCAGACCCAATCCCTAAGCAGAAACAATCCCCAAAGTCTTTGTGGCAAAGATGGCTATGTATCTTCTAATATCTGTTCTTCCATCTTCCCTGAGTAATAGAAATTAAAACTGGAGTCCGGTTGCCCAAAATAAAGATGACATTTCCCAGCCCCTTTTGCAGGCAGGTATGGCCAAGTAACTAAGTGCTTAACCCAGGGATATAAGCAAAGTTTCACATAAATAAGACCTTACAGGAGTATCTTTGATGAGTGAGAAGTTCCTTTTTTTCATTTATTTTTATTAGTTGAAGAGAGGTTCCTTTTTTTGTGTTTCCCATTGGCCACACGCAGACATGACTAGAACTTGAGTGTCCATCCCTGACCATCAGCCAAAAGTCACATTTTGAGAATGACAGAGCCATAAAACAGAAAGAAGGAACCCGATTCCCTGAAGAATTATGAAGTCATTCTACCAGCCCCACACTGCCTACTTTTAACATGTGAGAGAAATAAATTTCAATATGCTTGAGCCATGTTCCTTTTGGTTTTCAGTTGTTTGAAACCCAAACTAATCCTGATTAATTCATGTGCCCTCAGACAAAACTGCACCTCTTGCTGATAAGGAGATGGCCTAGCATCTGAAGCTGTAGTTCTAGTTATGCTGATTATCACAGCTTCCTTCTCCTATAAGCACTGGAAGGAGAGGGAACCTCCCAATTCCTCCCACAAACAAGCTGGGTATGACGAAGGGGCGTTCGAGGATAGAGGAGTACAGTCCTGAACAACAATGAAAAAGTGGGAAAAGAAAACGAAGCAGAAACAAACATCTACGAGTTTCTTAGGAGAGAAATGTTCTACAAGAGTCCAGAAGTAAACCCTTCCAAATGGAGCTCCCAGAATCAGAAGCTGCCTCTGGGCATGTGTATGGATATGTGTATGGATCTGTACCTGCCTTCTAAACATTTTTTTAATTACACAAGTATACACATTGAGTCTTATTATCAAAACATTCAAACTATAGAGTTAGTGTCCAGGACCTTTGAGCAACTGTTGTCAAGACCAGTCCTCCTCAGGCCTGTTACTGTCAGAATATGAAAGCTGTCTATCCGTAACAACAACTGACCAAAATAGGAGACAGCAGCCTTCCTGCTCAGAGTAGAACCTTGCCCAGAAGGAAAAAAAAAAAGAACCCTACCCAGGCATGAGTCCAAGACAACAAAAGGCAATAGGAAGCCATTCAGACATCACACAGTGTTTCCTCACCGCAGTCTCACCCTTGACTATCTCCCTTTCCTTCTTCTTTCCCCTCCTCTCCTCCTTCCTTGTCAGCCTTACCAAATAAACCCTTGGGGACAATGGAGTCTCAGCTGTGAGCAGACCTCTGCTGATGCCACAGTGTCAGTACTGAACTGACTTTCATGTCAGTTCATGGCAAATACTCTTCAATGATGTATTTGAGTTTATATAACAGGATCCCACAAAGATAAATGCACCAAGACCTAAGCCAGAAACACACACTTCGGAGGCAAATCAAGTACTCCTACAATGCTGAGCAGCTAGGTTACCAAGAATACTGCTGGTCACCTGGCCAGAGAAAGGAACTATGAACCTCAAGAAGTGCCATTTGCCCCCACAGTCCCATAAGTGAATTAGAGCCCCAAGCATATTGAGTTCAGTGGGCAGCCTGAGGTCCCACTAACCACAGAAGAGCCCAAGATCCCAGAATAT